TTTATACCTTTTTATAACTTGTTTGCACCATGAGCCAAGGCAAATTCCTAGTTTGTTACTTACTACAAGTGGAAATAAAGTATATTTTGATTCTGAGATTTTGCAAATTCGTATTCATATATTATTACAATCCTTCTCCAGGTTATTTGTAATCTTGAATTATGTCAATGGTGTCGCTCTGATGATGGATGGAGACAGAGGTTCAAAACATCTGTCAAATGATCAGCACTAAACAACTGAAAAGTTGTTTTAGTGTTTATCTTGAACAGTCAACACTGGAGAAAGACAAACTGTTTTAGTCTGAATACACCTGGCTTAAGAGCTTATTTCCACATACTGTAACCATACCTTGTTCCAGGCCTCTAAGGTTTAGTCAGCCTGGCCATATTTATTGATGTCTACACGATACAAACAATTATACTTTTGCAGCCCCCTTGAGCCTAAAATATAAATATAGGAGGATTATCTTTTTAAATATACCCCTATATTTTTCAGGAATACTACAAAATAATACAATTATTGCAGTGATATGGAGCTGCTCAACTGTATTTCATTGTTGTGAGTCTGAAATTGAAAATAAAATTTCTCAAAAGGCTTTCCTTTAGAGGCATCGTTATCATCTAGTTATTTTGATATCACATGATGAGGCGCAGCAGTGAGAAAAACAGCTCATCGACAGATGACTGGATGAATCATTGTTCCATTTAAAAAGACCGGCTCTTCCCTGTATGACGTTACAGTTAAATAGCATTTTCTCACTCAGTCCTTGTCCTTTCTAAGACAAAATAGTCAAAAAAGTAAGTAAATTATATATTTGTTTTTGCAAAAGATACAAAAATGTACACTTTAGAGCACACCTGACAAATGTTTCACTGGATTCTACCTTAAACAGCATTTTAAAAACAAACAACATATGAACAACATGATTAAAGCTGTGGTACCTAATTTAAGCAAAATAATACATACACGTGAAAACTGATAGTTCTGTTTAAGAACATGAACCAGTTGGGTGGATGTTTTTACAAAGTTACATTAATTGTGGTTTGAAAGGTAGGTACCCCAGCTTTAAACTGTTCTAACAATTTCTTGTAAAGCCCTTTTCCTTCCAGTTCCGTCAAAAACTATCCGCATTGGCTCATACACAAGACTGAATCACACAGCTCTTTGTTTTTATAATATTCTATTCTCTTCCTGTTATCATAGAATTGGCCTCAGGGTCAATATGTCCGACTTACTGTTTCAGGGCATCTAACACGGACATATGAATGAGATCCTACATGTAAATGAACAAAATTTAGCTGCCAGTTTTAGAGATGCTGTAGAAGACAGAGCTAAAAGAGATGCTAAAATATTTATCCAGGACCAGATTACAAGATAAGAGAAGGGATGAGAGAACTGTACACTATTGAGTGGGAAAGTTACACAAGGAGAACATGCAAATCTATTGGGGTATTGTGCCATTACGCCATCACATCATTCATCATCATAGACAGGAAGTGTTGAAGTTTATAATCTCATGAGGCTACACTCTGAATCAGAATCAGAATCAGAATCAGAATCATTTTTATTGCCAACGTAAGTAACGGGAGGTCACAGACTTGGAAATTGCTTTGGCTCAGTGCAACAGTCAAAAAGAGATAATAAAAATAAGAATAAAAAACACTTCTAAAGAATAAATTTAAATTTAAAATAGAGTTACAGTTACTATTTACAATATACAAGTGCACATGGTGCACACAATGTAAGGTGACAGCAGTACAGTGAAGTAAAGTGACGTATGATGGGCAGTAAAGTGACTTTATAAAGGGCGGGGGGACAGGTTAAGAAGTGTTCAAGAGTCCAACAGCAGAGGGGAAGAAACTGTTCTTGTGGCGGGAGGTTCTAGTCCTGATGGACCGCAGCCTCCTGCCTGAGGGGAGTGGTTGGAATAGTCCATGTGCAGGGTGAGAGGGGTCGGCTGTGATACGACCAGCCCGGCCTCGAGCTCGGGCGACGTACAGGTCCTGCAGCGATGGAAGGCTGCGGCCGATCACTTCCTCTGCAGAGCGCACAATGCGCTGTAGTCTCTGTTTGTCCCTGACTGTGGCTCCAGCGAACCACACGGTGATGGAGGAGGTGAGGATGGACTCGATGATGGCCGTGTAGAACTGCACCAACATCTGTGCAGGCAGCTTGGCTTTCCTGAGCTGCCGCAGGAAGTACATCCTCTGCTGGGCCTTCTTGATGAGGGAGCTGATGGTCGGCTCCCACTTGAGGTCCTGGGTGATGGTGGTGCCCAGGAAACGGAAGGACTCCACAGAGGTGATGGGGGAGTCCATCACGGAGGGTGGGGGCGGGGGGACAGTGCTCTTCCTGAAGTCCACAATCATCTCCACTGTCTTCTGGGCGTTCAGCTCCAGGTTGTTACCACTGCACCAGGACACCAGCCGGTCCACCTCCCTCCTGTAGGCGGACTCATCGTTGTTGGAGATGAGTCCAATGAGGGTGGTGTCGTCCGCGAACTTGATCAGCTTCACGGAGTCGTGGCTGGAGGTGCAGTGGTTGGTGTACAGGGAGAAGAGCAGGGGAGAAAGAACACAGCCCTGTGGGGCTCCTGTATTTATAATCCGAGAGTCCGAGACATTCTTCCCCAGACGCACTCGCTGCTTCCTGTCCGTCAGGAAGTCAGTGATCCACCTGCAGGTGGAATCGGGCACGTTGAGCTGGGAGAGCTTGTCCTGGAGCAGGGATGGCAGGATTGTGTTGAAGGCAGAGCTGAAGTCCACGAACAGGACCCTGGCGTAGGTCCCCGGGGAGTCCAGGTGCTGTAGGATGTGGTGGAGGGCCAGGTTAATGGCGTCGTCTACAGATCTGTTGGCTCTGTAGGCGAACTGCAGGGGGTCCAGGAGGGGGGAGGTGAGGGACTTGAGATGGGAGAGAACCAGGCGTTCAAATGACTTCATGACGACAGACGTAAGTGCTACAGGTCTGTAGTCATTGAGTCCTGTGATCCTGGGCTTCTTCGGGACGGGGACAATGATGGAGGATTTGAAGCAGGCCGGGACATGGCAGGACTGCAGAGAGGTGTTGAAAATGTCCGTGAACACAGGAGTAAGCTCACTGGCGCAGTGTCTCAGAGTGGCCGGAGACACGTGGTCCGGGCCAGGAGCTTTGCGGGGGTGCAGCCTCAGGAAGAGTTGTTTAATCTCTTTAGCGGCTATTGTTAGGCTGGGGGCAGGGCTGATGGGTGGGTCGTTAGAGTAGTGGGGGGTGGGGGAGGGAGAGGTGTCAGGGGCAGCATCAAAGCGACTGAAAAATAAGTTCAGATCGTCAGCTAGCTTGTGGTCATCAGCACAGGGGGGGGCTTTGGGTTTGTAGTTGGTGATCTCCCGTAGGCCCCTCCAGACAGAAGCAGTATCGTTGTTACCAAACTGCTCCTGTAGTCGTTCTCTGTGCCGGGACTTGGCTGCTTTCAGTTCTTTCCTGAACTGATATTTAGCTGCTTTGTAGCCGCTGCGGTCCCCCTCCCTGAAAGCAGACTCCTTTGCTTTCCTGAGCTGCCGGAGTTTAGCAGTGAACCAGGGTTTGTCGTTGTTATAGATGACCCTGGTCCTTGTTGGAATGATGCTATCCTCACAGAAGTGGATGTATGACGTCACAGTGTCCGTATATTCATCCAAGCTGTCTGTGGCAGCTCTGAAAAGGTCCCAGTCTGTAGATTCCATGCATGCGCGCAGCTCTTCCACAGCTTCATCAGACCACACTTTGGAGCTCCTCACTGCAGGTTTCGAGAGCTTTAGTCTCTGTCTGTAAGCAGGAACCAGATGTATCATGGAGTGATCTGAGAAAGAGGTGAGAGACCTCTGAAAGAGGTCTCATCACCACCAGAAGGAGACAAACCCTATGTTGAGTTTGAAGGATTCCACATCTATTTCGAGTCCTCAATTTCAAATCAATTACGACAGAAGTTGTTTCAGGCTGATTGGCAGCTTGAGAAAACTTGTATAATGCCCACCTATCACAATTGGTATTGTATGAATCTATAACCTGTGCCCCTGTCCAATAAGTGGACTTTGCTGTCACTTATGGCCTCAAAGCCACCAGAAGGCCCCAGAGTTGCTTTACAGTCTTAAAACTGTATACAAATTATATTTAAAAAACATTTGTCACACTGTCTGCCAGATATTAAAAAGTAACTCCCACTAAAATAGGGGAAAACATTTAATTGGGTGTTTTTATCTGTTACAATAATGTTGCCTAGAATTTAAATTTGATGTTGGATAAGATAATATATTCATACTCCATATTGTACAATGTAAGTAATCATTAGATTCACCCAACTGGCAGTGACACGGCATGGGCCCCTGGAATTATTTTTCATTGGGCCCGAAAATACAAGAGCCTATTTCAAACTCATTTGGGGAATTCGTGTTCTACATTTTGCCAATAGAGCTTCATCCCGTAATCTCGACGCTTCTTGACTTCGGAAAACACTTGAAGTACTTTACTTTACTTCACTCTTCACTCACAGGGTACGTGCGCACGCGCGGCGTGTTCTCATCTAGAACGTTTGGCTCTTTCGCGAGGTTTCCCCATGTTTCCCCAGTTCATGCAAAGCCAGATTTCTACGAACGGTACATTTCCGGTCTAAAAAATAAAACAAAAACAATTATGGAATTTTTGAGTTGTACATTGAGTGTTTACACATAGTTTAACCAATATTTAAGATGGGTGGAAAGAGATATGATGCATTAATGGCATTTGTTCAGTCTTTGTTTTTTTGTCACCCAAATCAATTTGGAATTTTATTTTGAAAATATTCGGAAGTTGCGTTGATCACTTCACCGCACACTTCACAGACTCTCTCCCCACTCTCTGGGGGGCTCCACTCTCCAGCAGTTGTTGACAGACAGTGGCACTAGAGTTGTACCTTCATTGTGGTCTAAATATTGAGCAATTATCATACTTTTCTGCTCTGACAATAAGCTCGAAACTTGAGCTTTTCCCCTCAACAATGCCTTATGATACAAGTGTCTTCGTTGGGCGAAGAAAGTGATCACATTTCTGGCGTAGAGGTAAGAAATGTGAGTCATTCTCATGCTGTATCCGTTTAAAACAATCTAGAGAGGAATTGTCTGTTTCACTACAACAATTAGCTCCCATTCTTTCCCACAAACTCGTATTTATAGCACTTAAGCTTATTTACAAGTAATTTAGCCACTCAATGTTCAGCTATGTCAGTCTATGCTAATATTAGCCGCTAGCACTTGACTGTAAGATCCTGCTATATCCGAGGAAACCACGTGTTAAACTCTGTAAAATCGTCTCTTTTTCTTTATTACATTTACAAACGTGAATGGTTTCTATGTTTTTGTGAATCAAGATCTGGTATTTTTCTCGCGTAGACAGGTAAAATGTGCCAACTTCACCACTACAATCCTTGCACTTGGCAAGTAGGAGAATCCAGTTTAGCATATTGTTATGTTTTCGGTTTTCTGTTGTGGCTTTGGGCACGCATTTAATGTAGATAGCGTTTTATACTGTTAGAAAAAGTGTTTAATGTTATGCAGGCGTCACATTGCACTGTCATGGTGTTATTGACAGGTAAACAAAAAAGGGTACCCCACTGGATAGGCTGAGAATTATTACTACATTTAGTATTATAGCATTACAACTGTTAATATGAACAGAACTTATGAAATTTGACTACCAACTGCTCTCCACAATTTATAGTTTTATAAATGCATTTTTGTCATTTGTATTTGTATGAGCCAGTGATTAAAAACAACACTCTTTTCAGGATGAAAACCGACTAAAGGACTCTGCAACTTCACTGGTGAAAATCAGATGGGACTGTTATGTCTCAGTATGTAATGTATTAAGCATTTCTAAACATGAACATTAAAAAAGCAATTTCAATGTGGGCATTTTCTCTCTCCCTGACTACGTGTGGATGGAGTTATTAAAGAACTCACTTTCACTATCAGTTTAAACGAAAGTGGCGACAAAAAGCATGTTGTTGTTTTGTCCTTACGGTGAGTGGCCCCCGATAATTCCCTCTGCTCTACAGCTCTACTGCACAAATGCTGAACCATGGCCCTGTATTTTAATGTTGAAGTTTGCATATGAGCTGATGCTTAATTACTTTTAAGTGTAAAACGGTTAGGTCTGGGTACCGGTTCCTGGCAGATAACGAGTAATGACATGTCGGTCCAAGCTGTACCTGGAACCTGAAATTGATGAATAAAACAGTGTTGAATTGTCAGAATTTTAAACCTCCTGTCACATTTAGTGCTGGTTTCTGTTTTAATACTTCAGGACCACGATCAGCTCACTGTTGGTCTTTGCCCCTTTCGTCAACAGCCATAAATATCCTGCATATTCACTTTCATGGAAATTTCTACAAGACCTATTTTTATGACTGACTAAGAAGAATTGATTTCAAGATGAACAACCTAGTTTAAATCTGAATCTTAAAATTAAGTCGGTAAGGATCAGAATTATTTCTTATTACCATTGTAAGTAACTGGAAGTCACAGACTAGGAATTTACTTTGGTGAAAAAGTGAAAAATGTACGTAAAGGCATGCATAAAAAAACATATAATGTAAAAATACAAACAATAGACATTTAGCTGTCTTATCAATAAGTGTCCAGTGGTATGTGATTATATTAAGTTACAGTTTATGGGCTTGTGCGGCTACAGCAGTTGCATAACAAGGTTTGATCTTTTTTTTTCTCCCTTTTTTGTCTGTATAACTGATTTTGCAAATTTAAAATCCATTAAAACAAATACAGACTTAGATAAGAAATACATTACTGCATGATTGTATAAAAACATACTGGCCTCTTTATCAGGGCTCTTTCATTATCATTAGCATTATTATTATTTAGACACATTGTATGCACTGATTGACACAAAATGATGTCATACAATCTATAAATATATCAGTCATTTTCCATATTGGACCAATTTTACTGTTTGACTGAAATCAACCCACTAATGCATTCAGGAGCATAACATTTTTTAACCAAATAGTTTCTGTTGAGGACCAGTTCAAATACGATATGGCTATAAACAGTGGTGCACATAACTTTTTCAGTGAGGTACTCAGATGAGTACCAGGACATGGTGTTTGGTACTCATTTGTCGCGCGGTTCTTAATCGTGATTTTATACTTGCTTATTTTTAATGCTGAAATTCAACGTCTACAGAATGATTGATATCTCGGCCTCTAGCAGATAGAAACATAATTTCAAAAGAATTTGAGAGCTGACACAATAAAAATGCAGTGTATTATTATAATCCCTCAGTAGAATAAAAAAAATATATACAACTTCCATACAGGAAAGGTAATAAAACAACCAATAATAATGTGGGACTAACATGTCTTTCTCAATACAATAAGTAAAAAAGAGTTTGGCAATTATGTGGCACTAACTATGTGGAAAAAATTATTGAAAAAAATCTCTGAACAAAAAGTCAAAGAATGACTCACAGGGCTCCTTCTTAAGTAAGTAAAATAAAATAAACAAGACTGTTTTGGTTTGTTCTGTTTTATTTGGTCACAACATTTTACTTCTGTGCACAAATAACATGCATTTTCAACGCAAGCGAAAATGTAGGTACCTGCGCTTTACTTCAGTGAGACTTGGGGGAGACGTGGGAGAGGCATGGGGGAGAGACGGGGAAGAGACTGCGGAGAGGCATGGGGGAGAGACAGGGAAGAGACTGCGGAAAGGCATGGGGGAGAGACGGGGAAGAGACTGCGGGGAGGCATGGGGGAGAGACGGGGAAGAGACTGCGGAGAGGCATGGGGGACAGACGGGGAAGAGACCCGGGGTCAGAACGGAGGATGTTATTGCACCGCACCCCACTATTTGAGAAGGACTGGTCCATGTGAAGTACGCAAAAGCGCTTACTAACTCAAGTGATGGTACGCATTTCTGATTTGTCACGCATGTGTACCTGCGTACCACTTATGTGCACCCCTGGCTATAAATATCTTTAGTTGAAACATTAAGTCTTTCTATACAGTTACTCCTTTTCCAGATTTACTTGATTCTAGGAAGTCATTTCTAAAATGTATCGGATTTTATGTATATCTATTTCTAAACGTAACCTGAACTAAATGTGTTGTTTGGACAGAGCCGGTGGAACGTTGGGTTGGCCGAGGAAAGGGGGAGGGACCATGCTGTGTTGGGGCAATGCTTCTTACGGTCAGCTGGGCCTGGGCGGCATCGACGAGGAGATCGTAGTGGAGCCTCGGAAATGTGACTTCTTCGTGGGAAAGCAGGTGATCGGCATTGGCTGTGGCACACGGCACACGACCTTCCTGCTCGACGATGGCACAGTCTACACCTGCGGCTGCAACGACCTCGGACAGCTGGGCCACGAGAAGACCAGGAAGAAACCAGGTGAGGCTTTGAAATGTGTGTCACGAGTAGGATTGAGACCGTGTGAGATTTCAGAACACTTTGAAGCAACTATCGTTAAAGTTCAAACTCATCCTTATTACATTTGCACGAGCCAGTACTTTTCCCTTGTTTTGACTTCTGAAGGCCAAGCTATATGGCACCGTGGAAGCTGCTGATTTGAGGACTGCATTCCTCCATGCTTTATAATACACTTTCTGTCATGTTTGTGTTCGTGCTCTCTACCATTGACAATAAAATGTCTTCTGTCTGAATGAAAGACACGTCTGGGGACTTTGTGATCTTCTTCAACCGTTACTGGTATAGTTTCATTTATGGAAGCAAGATTTAGGAAAGGCACATTATATAGCGTGGTTCATATAGGAGGCAACTCAAAGTGCTTTACAAAACAAGAGGAGAAACATTAAAATCATACAAGGCATTAAAATAAATAAATAATCCCAGTACATTCCCCACTCTGGGACAAATACAGGGTTACATAACAAATGAAAAATAAATAATAAAAAGTAATCTATCAAAATCACAATCTGCAAATATATAGAAATCTCCTTGTAGACTACTGTACTGTAAAAAATAATGAATGAAAACATTATATTCGCAGAAATATCTATAGATTTGTTTATGATATTAGTAATACATTTGGTGAAGTAAAATCTGATCATCTGTCTTTTCCAAAGTAACATGATTTTTACTCTCAATCTGGGCTTTTTGTCTGTTTCTCTTGCTTCTGATTTGCTTTTTGGTTACTTTTAGGTTGCTAAGAGATAGATTCACTCCAAAATCATATGCATGAGACATGTTATAGGAGCTTAAGTAGACTTCTTCAAGCAAAATCCACTCACTATGGGTCATGTCATGCTAACTCGGTCCACTACTTATCATACAGTCTATTAATATGTATTTATCGACTGGGACAGAGCTATGATAATGGGACCACAAGGGGTTGTTATAGTCCAACATGAATAGTGGTAGGAGTGTTTGTGTGTGTGTGTGTGTTTGGGTATAGTTTAGTTAATTTAATCTAAATTGCTGCTCATTCACAGTTCTCTGGTCTCTCAGAGCAGGTGGTGGCTCTGGATGCACAGATCATCGAGGAGGTGGCGTGTGGAGAGTCTCACACTTTGGCGCTGAACGATAAAGGACAGATTTTCTCCTGGGGTCTAGCCTCAGACGGACAACTGGGACTCTGCAACTTTGATGAATGTGTTCGTGTGCCTCGGTAAATCTCTAAGTTATTATGTGATCCTCAAGTCTGAATGTCCGGCTGTTCATTATAATTCCATAATTTAGTGACCAGTCGATTGCAAAGTGGGTTTTTATATTGAGCTCACATGATGTAAAAGTAAAGGTTTAGGGTTAGTGTTATTATAAGTATTTGATTTCATTTGGGCTAGGGCTACGACGTTAATTTATTTGAATCTTTTCTTTGGTCAACAAAAAATAACAACAACACAGAAAGAAACAATATCACATTTCTGTATTAAGTGAATTAAGTGTTTTCTCTTTTTCAGAAACATCAAGAGTTTGTCAGATGTACAAATTGCTCAGGTAGCTTGTGGATATCGGCACTCCCTTGCGCTTTCAAGAGGTGAGTGTTTCTACCATGACACAATGTATAAGTAAAGACTCATTTAAGCCAAGCCTAGTCTATAATTTACTCACTGGAGAGAATAATGTAACGCTGTGTTCCATTTAGGAGGATGGAAGTTGGACTCAAATAAACAATTATTTTTAGTTTCTGTAATCCAGACATTTAATTTTAAATGCATAAAAGTCTCTCATTAATTCCCCCCCATAAATAATACACTTTGTTTGTCACAATACAAAGTCTTCTTAAGGTCATATTATGTGAACAAATCAGATCACAATATGCAGTCATTTCATTAGAAAACTTTTGAGAGAAATTACCATCGATGACTCATGACTCTTCTTCCTCTCCTCTCTGATACATGCATGTGAAAACCACTGATGGAACCAAATCAGTTACATTTTATTACATGTAAAAAAAAAAAGTGAGGACATTTCATTGTGTCTTTCAGCGTGACACTTCTTCCATAATGGCTGCATGAATGTCTCGCCAGGTCTGAGATTCATGTTGGGCATTGAGAAGTTCGTTTCACAATAATTAGTCTATGGTCTGTCCCTCAATAACAGATAAATAACAGTGTAATTGGAAATTATTATTTGTCGTCTGTGGATTTTCTTGCAATAATGGAGAGATTTGTACCATTTTCCCTGTAATAGTATACTTTATCTGTAGTGAAATATTGTCCATAAAAATAGGTGTATCCTGCATTTTAACTGTTGTTTATTCTAGGGTGCAGCATATTTTCCTGGGGCCAAAACCTTTCCGGTCAGCTGGGTCTGGGATTGAATGGCCAGAGCCTCTGCACCCCTCAGATGATCCAGTCTCTTCAGGGCATTCCTTTTGCTCAGATAACAGCAGGGGGCGCTCACAGCTTCGCTCGCACTTTCTCAGGAGCTGTGTTCGGGTGGGGATGCAACAAGTTTGGTCAACTCGGGGTCAACGACACTAATGGTGAGGAATGAGAGAGCTGCTGTCAGGGGACGATTTATGAGTAACCCTTTAGATGCCAGTTTAGAATTCTTTGTCAACATTTTTTATTTTGACAGATCGGTATTTCCCTGCTCTGCTGAAGACGCTGCGATCACAGAGAGTGATTTATATTTGCTGTGGAGAAGACCACACAGCTGTTCTCACAAAGGTAAATGTGAAGCTGCAGAACCAAGTGTTATACCAGAGCAAGTTAAAATGAGACAGAAACGTTTTTTGTTTTTTTTCTAAACCGTTTTTAAATATACTCAACTCTACTCTCAGATGAATCATTATGAAAGTATTCCGTAGTTCAAGTTCAAGTGGTTTTCCAAGGGTTGAATTTTGGGAAAATAGTTATGGAACTAGTAAATGTTTGTATGCATGTTTAATGAATCTAATACAACTTGAGGATCATCGGTGCCACAGAAGCAATTGAAAAAAGGTGAAGGTGTTATTTACTTTATTATAAGTTTGTTTGTTTATTAATTAATCAGGCATTTCACATCAGGCACAAGTCACCTCTTGTCCATCTGATTACAAGGTTGGAGACCCCTGCATTAGCATTACACATTTATACCTGACATATCTTCCAACAAAAATAAAGTATTGCTAACATGCATATGAGGGAAAATGTAAATAAAACAATAAACCAAAATAGTTGCCTGAAAGTAAAGTAAAATCCAATCTAATCTGTAACCACATAATCTCCTGTTTCCTGCTTGTTTAAATAAAAATAAAAATTATTTCCGTTCTATTAATAAATCCTTTGACAGACATCTTGGCAGCTGAACAAGAACTGACTGAACATAAAACAACTCATCTCATTCATAACATTGAGTTTAGAATGCTTTAGAAAAAAACCTGTATTTCTCCTTCTAAAGACATGCCAATGTAAAATATTTACATGTATTTGTTTTTCAGGAGGGAGGTGTGTTTACGTTTGGAGCAGGAGGGTACGGACAGCTGGGACACAACTCCACAAACCATGAGATCAACCCCAGAAAGGTCTTTGAGCTCATGGGAAATGTAGTCACTCAGATCGCATGCGGCAGGTAATTTACTACTGAAATACATTTACATTTTACATTTTTTCTTCTGCCTATCCGCTCTGCTCTTTCTCACATTTTGGATGATATTGTACAGTTGACAGTTTTACCTAATTCCTGCCAGTAGATGCCAGCAGAGAGAAGGGAAATGTCATCTGACTGGGTGTATAGCATAAGACTGTAGATATTAGTGGACTAAGTGATGCCTATTTCCCTGATCACCACAGACCTTTTCAATATGGCCACAAGCAGCCCCTCCCACAGGAAAATGATGAAAAAACACTTTTGGAGCAGAGGCTAATTCATTTGCGCATGGGTTAGCCGGTACGAGCCAGTTCATTTAACACGTTCATTCTAAAAGTCCACAGCAGATAAACAAGGCTGGTCCAAAAAAACTTCCCTCAGCATTGACATGCATCTGGAAGTTAGCGTTGAGTCAAGAGCCCACTTTTGGACCAGACTGTAAAGCTGATTTTGAGAGGAAAAAAGGCGGCATAAGAATTCATTGAAAAATCCTGTTTCCGCCACCACCGGTAAAGAACCAGAATACAAGCATGTCAGCGCATGTACTCATGGACCTTTCATATCTACATATCTCCTTTCTCTTATTTTACATTTGACTGACCTTAGTGGCATTGAAACATCTTATTATTTTTAATGTAAAATTTACTTGACCAAACCTGGAGCTGCCCCACCTCAGAAAATTTTAATTTCAAAGCAAAAACCAGGACAAAGAAAGAAGTTTTTTTTATTTTGATGCAGCCTCAGAACCACAGTTGCCTGTGCAGATGTGTGGCTTTTGGAATTATGCTTGAATTAACAAAATAATTTAAAGTTGTAGGTCTTTAGAATGTAATCATGTAGCTATGTAGGCAACTAGGTGAAGAAATGGAATTGATTTGGAAACAAGCCGGCAGCAGACATGGTTTCACTAAAAGTTGTTTTTATTTTTCCAGGCAGCACACGTTGGCGTACACTCCCTTGTCTGGAAAGATGTACTCGTTTGGCCTCGGAGGAAACGGACAGCTCGGCCTCAAAACCACCTCCAACAGAAAGAGTCCCGCCTCCGTGAAGGGGCCCTGGACCATCAGTGACAACATGGACTCTTCGGGGGAGCAAGGTATATCTGCTTTAATTTAACCGTTGAATTCAGTCAAGCCACAGCTGATACAGAATGACCTGGTCAAGTCCATATTGTTGTGCATTTGACAGAGCTGAGGTTGGCTGGATGACACAAACTTTATGATGAAACTTAGCAATTACATTAAAAGTTACAACAGGCTGGACTTGCCTGTTGTAACTTTTAATACAGAAGCCAAACTAACTTGAAGAAAACTACAGCTTCACTCTCACAAAACAGTGACTGGAAGTAAGACAAGACATTTTTCAGAATGCAGAAGTAATTGGTACATAACACCTTTTGTGACTGTGGCTGATACATTTGTAATTGGCAGAGGAACTTTGCTCAATTGGTATGGATAAAAGAAAATCCATATTTAATGCACATTAGATATAAGAAAAACATATATATTAATTCAAATCACCCAGCTCTTCCAGCCCTACTCTACAGGGCTCTAGTCTGCTGATAGAAATGCAACCAAGTAGTGAAATAGAGCCAAGTAGGACTGGTGGAAATATCCCTGATGCCACACATTGATCTGGCAAAACAAAAGCGTTTTATTTGAGAAAAATTTATTTGGACATCATATTCAGTCACCTGCTTATGTCTTGCAGAGTCAAGGGAATGCTGCTTTGTCAAACTGATCTTCGCTGGAGGAGATCAGAGTTTTGCTCACTACAAAACGTCTAATGTAACTTCAAACATACATTCAGCCGCATTTGGTTGTGGTCTGCGTGATGTTTGACTTTTTGTGTTTTCCAGAGTTCCCCAGTTACAGAGAACGAAAACTTACTCAACAGCCAAAGAGCGATTTGCACCTTAGACCAGGAGTTGATTCAGAAGTGGCATTCGTACTCCCCAGGGCGACTCCCACTGGACATATCCAAGTAACTTCAGCATTTCTTTGCATTCATATACTACTGCTTCATGTGTTGTATATATGATTTAGTGAGAATACAGCGCAGACAAAAAGATACATGTTGTTTTTTGTTCTTTTTATAGTGACATTGACCTCGTGTTTTCGTCCGCGAGTTGTCTCAATGGGTCATTTCTCTCCAGGAGGTAAGAGCAGTCTCTAATCTGTGTATGCATTTATGTATTATTGTTTAGTTCCTCTCTAATTGGTCTATAGCAGGGGTGCCCAAACCTTTTGCTTCCAAGGGCCAAAGTAAAAATTTGCCAGTGGGCCGCGGGCCAAATACACCGATATTATGCATGAAACACAAATAAATGTAGATTTGATCAAGTTCTTTTAAATGCATTAATTATTGTCTATCAGTGCAAATCACAGCTGAATGAATGAAATCAACACAGTCTTAGTGAAGTGGAGACTCCAGGGAAATATGCAGGTTTGAGGAGACTACAGTACGGAAAGATTCCGGTCGGGTAATCAGGGTCCAGAGGAGGGAGATTTTCTGTCATGGCTTATTTAAAGGTTAAAATCATATAATAAAACCTCAAAAAGAGAACAGAAACATACATTTTGTGTGCACCATGTGCACTTGTATATTGTAAATAGTAACTGTAACTCTATTTTAAATTTAAAGTGTTTTTTATTCTTTATTTTTATTATCTCTGTTGCACTGAGCCAAAGCAATTTCCAAGTCTATTTTCATATATTTATTTTGAACAAAAGTTTTTAACTACATTTGAATCATATTACTTTATCTTAGCTTTTATCAAAAAGGGGAGACATCACTGATCAATAGATCTGGTTTTAGCACACTTTTAAACAATACATTTTAACATTAAGTAATGAATTTGGGAACATAATTGCTAACTGCATTTTCTAAACATGATCAGGTTTTAACTCTTTTAACTTAATATTTTTAACATAGGGCAAGTATTCTCAATTAGTTGTGAACTGAATATTAAACTAACGAAATCAGACTAGTTAACCATGATTTGTTCCTGGAGTTTTGTTTTGTTTTGCCTAAACACAGTACAACATTTATAAACAATCAAAACAAAGTAACTGTCAAAGAGTCCGAGTTTCCGCTCCTCCAAAGGGCTCTTGAACGCATCATAAAACTCCGCGTAAGTTCTGTCTGACATTCAGTGATCGCGAGTGAGGACGGCGCTTACCGGCTTCTTTCATGGGGTTGTAGAAGGGTTTGTTTTGCACAGTATTTGTTGCTTCTACTTGCGTGGATCGTGCGCTGCGATCCCTGCTTGTCCTGCTTGAACTCACTCTGAAGTGTTTGTGTCCGTCCTTTTTAACACACCGGGTGAGTGCGGATTGCGCAGGTGAATAGTTCCACTCGCCATTTCCCTCCGGTGAGGAGGGGGAGTGGCAGTTCGGCAGCACAATCCTCTCAATTTTATAAAACATTAAATAGCTCCAAAAAATAATAATAGTAGGCTGAAAAAAAAGAACATAAAGGGGCCTTGCACCCAATTGTTTTGAAAGATGTGTTTGATTTTAAAAAACATTTTAGTGCAAGTTGATGTGAACCATGAGTGAGGAGTGTATCTCGATACAACACTTGAGTACTGGACAGTCTGAATTCAGAAGGCGACTATGCGCCCGCGCGACCTCAGACATGTCACTGTTTGTTCAGCGAGGCTGAGAGACGCAGATAGAAACTTATAGCGGAGGTGGGCAATGTTTGGCACTTTGGGCACACCTGGTCTATAGGGATTCAGAGATTATCTGTCTCTTGTGAATTCAGAGCATGTGTTTACAAATCTGACATCAAGCACCCACAACATTATGACAACTTTGCAACAATAATTATATATTCATTGCTAGCTAGTCAAGATTTATTTTGCTGTTGGGTCAGAATTTGTTGAAAAAAGGCCCAGTGAGTATTATCTATACATGAATGTGTCTGGCAATTGTTGGTTTCCTCCAGATGCTCCGGTTTCCTCTACCACTAAAATCATGAGGGGAAACAGATGGAAACAATTAGCTACAAAAAAAATCTACAGATCTACAAAATTTACAGTCACTTCTGATCATTAATACACACTGTTCCATCCAAATAAAGAAATACAACACCAAGTTGGCACAATAATAAAACGTCAAACTGTATTTTGATGTGAATTAAAGGTAAACGCTGACAATAAGTTGTTGAGTGTGAATAATAATAGGATGTTTTTTGGTATCACAAGTTTTTCCTGGATCCAAATCTTTCTGGAACTCCAAGTGTGACTGTTATTGCGATTTATTTAGTATTGATACTTGCACAGTTAATAGATTTGATTGACTTTACTCATGTTTTGTCTCTTGTTTTGTAGTAATTCAGATCATTACAACACCAATGGTAAATGTTCGGGCGTGGACATCAACACTGCTCGACTCTTCTTTCATCAACTCATCCAAGATCACCCCGAGATCGCTCAACTGGTCAGTTCACTTTCTGCACCTTCTCATAAATATGTTTTTCCCAGCAGAAAGAGTCTTGCTCAAGTAACATTAGAACAAATCAAACCAAAACATGCTGTCTTTATCTTATTAGAAAACATTTTATCTTTTACATTCCCGAGAGCTGATTGGCTGAGGGAGTGTGTGTTTTGTTTGAAAGTTAGGTTCACCAGCTTTAAAAACACCATCCTGATGTTTATTGCTGTTGCTGTGTAGATTGCTGCCAGTCTGGAGAAGAGCCTGATCCCCAGATTGCCCAGCTCTCCTCCAGACATCGAAGCTCTGAGACTCTACCTCACGCTGCCCGAGTGTCCGCTCTTCAGAGACAGAAACAACTTTGTGACCATCACCATCCCCTTCGCCAAGTCCGTCCTCAGCCTGAAGGAGGCGCCGCTAAAAGTCCTGGGTACAGACACATTTATAGTCCCATTCGCACTGAGTAACACCTGGGCTGCTTCTGTCTTGCACACTGAACAACTCGGGCTGGAGGTAGTTCTGTTGTGATGCGTGTTCAGTCTGTATATTACGACCGAATACAGCTGTATTTTATACTGCAATAAAACCATGTGGGTCAGAAGAAGTCACACAAGAGAGGATTCTTTGCATAATGACAGCATAAGCTGTGGAACAAGACTGAGGTCCTTGATAAGATAAGAATTCCTTGGCATCAGTTTGTGCTGTTGCACGTGCTGCTGTTTCCGTTATAAGGTTTTCCATACAGAAAATAAGTTTGAAAATGTCTACATTGCTTCTCGTGGAAGAAAAGCTTGCTGTAGGCCATTATAATGTCATATCATGTGGACCTTACTCTGCACTGTGACTTTAGAAGACGGGTCCAAACAAAGCACCAATCTTTCCCACTTGTGCGTCGACCCTGCCTTTCAGCATGGGTCAAAAACATTGCAGTGTGAATATTGTGTTGTTGTTGTTCTTCCAGGAAACTGGTGGAGCCGGTTGGAGGCGGCGGCGTTCCAGCGCCTGGTGGAGCTGTACAAAGAGGTGGTGGTTTATCTGCTGCAGATGCACAAAGTGGGAATCCCTCACGTGGAGCAGAGGATCTTCTCCTGTTTCTTAGACACATCACTGCGACTGTTGCAGCTGCTGCATTTGGTGAGGCCTGAAATGTTTATTCTATTTTTATGTCACATAACTATCATTGTTATATTTGAAAAATACAATCTGAAAGATGCTTAGGGAGATGTTTGTGTCAAATAAAAATGTAAGGTGTACATCACTGTCAATCATTGTGCTCAGATGTTTGTTTATCTGTCTATTTTCTACTTAATTAATAATTTCACATGAAATGCCAAAGTACATATGATCATGTCCAAGGTATACAAGTAAAGAATACATCATAACTACTTTATTATCATTATGGATTGTTCTAAATACTTGGGTTGGGTCTGATTAAATCCCATCATCATTATTTACCCTGAATAAGGTGCAAATTGTGTTATTACATTTCACAGTATTTAAACTTGTATAGAAATAGGTTTAAACGTGATGTTTTGGTCCAGGTGAACGAGAAGAGTGGACAGATAATCCAGTATGACAAGTTCTACATCCACGAGCTCGACAGCCTCATCGACATCAGGAACGATTACGTGATGTGGATGAACTACCCGGTGAGTTCTTTACAATTATAAAGGCAGCATTTCTTAATCTTATTTTCTTCACATCAGGGACACGAGGGGGTGGTGACTTTGTGCCGGTTTCCATTTGTGTTTGATGCACAAGCGAAGACTACGCTGCTGCAGACCGATGCAGTTTTACAGATGCAGGTATCAGTCGTTTGGGGAAACCATGTTTGTCATAAGTTTTGCTTCTTATTATTTAACGTTATACTATATTAGGGATTGATGCATGTTGGAAAACATTGTTGCAAATAGAAATATTGAAAATTGTGGAGGTGTCTCATGTTGTAAATCGTGGTGGTACTTCCAGACCTCTGCCCCAAAACAAGATCTGTCATACCTGATCAGCCAGATCCAGACTTTACTCTATAATGAGCATGTTTGTCAGGATGTAGAAGAGCCTGCATGGTCAGGGAAAGATATTCAAATTATTCATAATTTCTATTTTGCTGTTTACTAATTGTATTCCACAAACTGGACTAGTCAGAACAGGCCAATGCTGCGCATTAGCCGGATCAGAGCAGACTCTTCTTCCTGAGGAGGCTGAGGTCTTTAGATGTGGCACATATTCTACCAGTCTGTAGTAGCTAGTGCCGTGTTCTTTGGGGTTGTGTGTTGGGGCAGAAGTCTGACCTCTGACGGTAACCAGCTCGACAGGCTGATCAGGAAATGTGTTTCTGTGCTGGAGAGAAGGAGGAGGGCTCTCCTGCAGGGCATCCTGAGTAACTCCAATCACCCTCTGCATGACACTATGACCGCTCAGAGGACGTTTTAACATTAGATCCTTTGTTCCTTCGGCTATGAGACTATACAGTAGAACTTTCAGAATTATGTATTTGTTGACGTTTGTATGCATGGATGTATTTCTGCTCCTACATTTATCTTACAAGGCTCAATAAATTATCTATCTTGTATTATACAAAGGGTATAATTTTTCCCTGGAGGCTCCATATCTCAGTATTTGTCTTTGTCAGAATGCGGTGGACCAGGCGCAGATGCAGAACTTTAGTTCCATGTTTATTCCCGCGGTGGAGTCTGTGAATCCCTGCCTCATCCTCATCGTTCGCAGAGACAACATCGTCGGAGACACGATGGAAGTCCTGAGGAAATCCAAAAACGTGGACTATAAGAAGCCCCTGAAGGTGATTTACTGATCTGTACATTATATCAGGTGCAGTTCCATTCCTCAAAGACATTTCTGGGTCCAGACAGTAAAGGTTAAGGTGCACTTTATTAGGACTCAGATCACATCTGAAGTCTAATCATGATCTTTTGTTCCATTTTGGAGGATTGCTAAAAATGTTTATCCAGCTATAACGTTTTGAGCGTTGACAGACAGATTTGTGATTCAATTATGAATATTTTAAGTGAGAGATTAGGCTAGTTAAGACTGATTTCCTTTTTATCATTTTTGATGTATTTTACAAAGGCAAATAACACATAACATGGATATGGTGCACCTTTTTAAAGCAGTCCTTTTGGTAACTTCCAACTCTACACGTTCGCCCTCAAAACGTGTAGAGTTTGGAAACCAAATTAAAATTAAAATAACTGTTAAGTTTAGGCAGATTTGAACAGGTGGGTTTTGAGCAGTGATTTGCAGTTTTGAAGTGAGTCCAAGTTCCGAACGTTTTGAAGGCATTTTGTTCTGATGAGATTGAGGAGGTTAGAGTCGGTGGATCTGAGGCGGTGGGAGACCCAGTGCTGATGGAGACCCAGTGCTGATGGAGAACCAGTGCTGATGGAGAACTAGTGCTGATGGAGAACTAGTGCTGATGGAGAACCAGTGCTGATGGAGGAGGTCGATGAGATATGATGGGGCCAGGTTATGAAGGGACTTGTAGGTGATGAGGAGGACTTCACAGTGCATGCGGTTTGCGAGCAGGAGCCAGTGGATTTGTTTGTCTAATCTTAGATAATGTTATTGCAGGTGATCTTTGTGGGTGAGGAGGCCGTAGACGCTGGAGGAGTCAGGAAGGAGTTCTTTCTGTTGATCATGAAGGAGCTTTTAGACCCTAAATACGGCATGTTCCGATACTTTGAGGACTCGCGGCTCATCTGGTTCTCACACAAGGTTCGTTTGCTCATAAATCCAAAATGAAAAGACTTTGACACAAATTCAAATTGTTATTTTTTCCCTGAAGACTTTTGAAGATATAGATCTGTTTAATCTGATTGGAGTCATCTGTGGTTTGGCCATTTATAATCTCACTATTGTCGAGTTGAACTTCCCAGTGGCACTTTATAAGAAACTGTTAAAGAAGAAACCAACGCTGGAGGATCTTAAAGAGCTGATGCCAGATGTGGGGAGGTAAGACAAGTTTGGAAAGTTCATCAAAAGCGATAATAGTTTGAATGTTGAGCTTTTCTTTTGTTTTCTCAACAGGAGTCTGCAGCAGTTACTGGATTACACAGAAGATGATCTGGAGGAAACCTTCTGCCTAAACTTCACAGTATGAAAGATTCGTCCATTACTTCCTTTTGACTTGCCCACTCATTACTTGAGCAGACGGTTTGAAAGTGAATTTGTCTAAGTTCGGTAAAAGTTTGATCCACAGCAAGATAAACAACAAGAGAAGGTTTTAAAGTCAAAACAATCTCACGTGTTGAATATCCCTGAGTGACCAAAGACAGAACAGACAAGAGAGAGAGACCAGAGAGAGAGAGACCAGAGAGAGAGAGACCAGAGAGAGAGAGACCAGACAGAGAGAGATACCAGAGGCAGAGAGAGAGAGAGAGACCAGAGAGAGGGAGAGAGACCAGACAGAGGGAGAGAGATACCAGAGAGAGACCAGAGGGAGAGAGAGACCAGAGGCAGAGAGAGACCAGAGGCAGAGAGAGACCAGAGGCAGAGAGAGACCAGAGGCAGAGAGAGACCAGAGGCAGAGAGAGACCAGAGGCAGAGAGAGACCAGAGGCAGAGAGAGACCAGAGGCAGAGAGAGACCAGAGGCAGAGAGAGAGACCAGACAGAGGGAGAGAGCAACAAAAGTTTACAGATTATTTTGAAATTATAATAAGAATATTATATGAGAAGATACCTTGATATCAACAATGATGTATTGAGTATGAAGCTAATTCTAATTATTGTAATATGACAACATGAAACATGGCTCAGTTGGTAGAGCATTGGCCTTTGAGCCTGAAGGTTGTGGGTTCGAGCCCACCGCAAGACCTACTTCACGACTCCCACTGATGACTGCTGTCGTTGTGTCCTTGGGCAAGACACTTAACCCCACTTTGCCTGAAGCCCCCTCTGAAAGATCTCAGCTCCTGTGGACTCACCACCTGCAGGAGGATCAGTGAGGGGCTTGTCACCCCCTGACCCAGAAATGGATTAAGGGGAAGAAAATGTATGGATGGATGGACAACATGAAACTGGACCAACGGTCACTCACCCTGACTATGGAGGGTGTCCTTTTCCTTTTGGTATAATCTCATGTTTCCCCAGATTACAGAGGAGCACTTTGGAGCCACTGAAGTCCTGGAGTTGGTGCCGAATGGAGAAGACATCAACGTCACCAAATCAAACAGGTACAAACCAAATAATAATAATAATTGTTCATGGAGGTACATAGCTTATTGTAAAACCTCATTGGGACAAGACAAGACATGGAACTGCTCACGTTTTGTGAAATTCTTATGCATTTAAATTTCTGTTCTCATGTTTGGTTCAGCACATGAACAAATGTAAATATTGCAGAGCAGTTTAGAGAGTGCTTCATGGATGTCAAATATAAAATCCAGATTGTCAGGGGATCTTTGGAGGTGGTTGTCAAATACTGTACATTGCAAATTAAATAAATGGCTGCTTAATTATGATTTTTCAGGTCAGTTCAGATTGTTATTTTGATCTCACTCAGAGCAGTAAATAAAGTTGAAACAACAAAATACATCAATATTCGTTCATCTACAACATAGAGCTCAAAAGAAGTCAGAGACAGGACATAACATAACATAATAAATTGTATTAAGAAAGCCTTTTATTCTTTTTCTTTTTTTAACCTGGCCTAGATCCGGTTGCTTCTGTCCTTCCCTTGTGCTCTATGGTTGTTTCCATATTGTGAATAATTTTAACTGTGTGTGCAGGCAGGAGTTTGTGGACGCCTATGTGGACTACGTGTTCGACAGGGCCGTGGCTCATCTGTTTGAGTGTTTCTACGCTGGGTTTCACAAAGTCTGCGGAGGAAGAGTCCTGGAGCTGTTCCAACCCAGCGAGCTGCAGGCAATGGTCATCGGAAACACCAACTACGACTGGATGGAGCTGGAGAAGGTGCGGACAAAACATTTACATTTTGAGATGCACTTTGGTTTGAGAATAACAACATTGTGTTCATGTTTGGATCAGAGTACTGAATATAAAGGGGAGTACTGGGCTGAACACGCCACTATTCGCCTGTTTTGGGAGGTATTCCATGAACTTCCATTAGAGAAAAAAAAACAGTTTCTATGTAAGTAACAAGCATTTTTTATTCTCTCCTGTTTATGTATTCTGTTTATGTATTCTGTCACTAATTGAATCATTTCAGTTAATTCACATTTGAAAACTTTAAATGCCAAAGTAAATATCATGAAAAGACCAGAAATGGATAGTATTAGTTTCTTAATCATTGTGCAGGTCAGATTAGAAAATACACACATTTTTTTTCAAGCTGAACTTTGATGATTTTGTCGAACTTGACCAGCCCTGGGTCCTTTAAATCCTTTTAGACCCTATATTAGGATATTTGATCATCATTCCTTTCAGCTCAAGTTTTAATCTTTAGTCATTTTTGCTGTGTTCCTTTTGCCAGTGTTCCTCACAGGAAGCGACCGTATCCCTATTCTGGGCATGAAAAGCCTGAAGTTGGTGATCCAGCCGACAGGAGGCGGCGAGCACTACCTCCCTGTGGCACACACCTGTTTTAACCTGCTGGACCTCCCCAAATACACCAGCCTCGAGTTACTGAGGCTCAAACTGCTGCAGGCCATCGACCACAACCAGGGCTTCAACCTCGCATAGAGACACTGCTCCCAGCGCGACAAAGGGATGTAATCATTAAAGATGGCTAGACTTGAAATCCATGTTTGTTGTGAGTTTCTTCCTCGCCATCTCCCGATTAACGCGAGTTTGAAAAGGCTGTTGTAAATACGCTTTTATTGATTTGGCTGTGAATAACAAGCTATCATTTTGACCTGTAAAAACACGTGAAAAGTACTAGACCGGTAATTAATGCTTACGTGAAGCATGTTCTAACTACTACTGGACACTTGTTCCAGGAGATATAGAATGTGTATTACAGCCGGTGTTGATGCGGTGTAGCATCTAATGTTTAAACATGTATAATCTTACATTTTATGTTTAGCATAAATTGTGTTTTGACATTATGTGTCTGCATCTTTTCCTATCAGTGTCTTAGGCCAGTTATTGCCTGGCCTGCCAAACGATATGCTTTTTCAAAGACATATTCTGTTCTTCTTTTGAACAGAAAGGAGGAGTGTCTGGCAGGCCAGGCAAGGCCAGTTACATACGACTGCACTTTTCATACTCTGGCAGATTCCTTTCTGAGAATGTTCTTTTTTCACTCATGGTTAAGGGTTGCGTGACAGCATTCATCTTCAAATATATAAGCTCAAAGTATTTGCCCAATGAAAAAAATGTTGATTACTCACGAGATTTCATTGTCAATTTAAGAACACTATATGTATAATTCCTAAATGCTTTAGAAGTGATTTCACATTTCTAATGTTCAAGAATTCTAGAAATGTTGCCAGTGCGGGACAAAAAGGATCTCTTAATCTAATTTAATTAGCATACTTACTGTTTTACCATTACCAATTTTAAAGAAATTGTGTACAGGTGACAGTGGCTCAGTTGGTAGAGCATTGGCCTTTGGGCTGAAGGTCGTGGGTACGAGCCCACCACAAGACCTACTTCTCGACTCCCACTGATGACTGCTGTCGTCGTGTCTTTGTCTGAAGCCCCCACGCTAAGATCAAGGCTCCTGTGGACTCACCACCTGCAGGAGGATCAATGAGGGGCCGGCGCAGCTTTGACTGCCACCCCCTTGATCCAGAAATGGATTAAGGGGAAGACAATGGATGGATAGAGTAAGAAAAAGGCTTAAAATCATGTACTCTTGTTCTGAATTCCCTTTGCAGATCCAAAAGACTCAGACTGAAATGATCATTTATTTCCTGAAACTGTACAGAGGACATGTACGTGCAGTGCAGCACATGGCCAGGAGGGGGCGCTCTTCAGTGAGGCAGTTCATGGTGCACGAGTTTGTAGTGAGAGCCGCAGGAGGGACAGCGCTGCATGTCTCCTTCATGAAGCCAGAACCAGATGATGGCGGTGTTGTCCTCCTCACCTGGACACACGCATGCAGCAGTTCAGATCAGAGAAGAGCTCTGGGAGTCACTGACACTTTAGGCTGAGATTGAGCGAGGGTCAAAAAATTCTTATCAGAATTTTGTTCCGGAAATAAGAGATTTGCTTCAGTTTTCTTTTGATATTTCACATGCCCACTGGTTATATAAGATCAGTTGACAAACAAAGATAGATATTTTGGTCAAGATTTCAAATGTTGTTCCATTCCCAGTAAAATGGACAAGCAAGAATAACAATAGATGTTGAAAAGAAGTAACTAAAGTTTGCATATCCAATAAATACACTTTAGAAATTTAGATCTTTGAAAAAGTAACTCTACAAACAAACAAAAAGCTTTTGATACACTATTGTAAAATACACACAGATGAGTTTTCCTGTAATAAATTTGCTTCTTGACAATGTTAAAACATCTCTGATCAAACAGCAGTAGAACATTTACTTATTTGGTTAAGTATTAAAAAAAAAGAATAATCATTAATTTTGGTCTGGAAGTCATGACTTCACACCAGACTCACAGAGACATCCCACCAGCCTCTTTGTCCCGACGCTGGGCACAATGTGGGGGTCGTCTTTGGTTCCAGCGTAGGTCTGAGGCTTCTTGATGCTCCAGGGGTCCTGAGACAAACAACGTGGATTCACATGAGCAGATTTAATCCAATTTAAAAACAAACTAGGTGTTTGACTTTACACACCCAGACATTAAAAATCCTGGTCTTTTTGATCAAGGTTTTTTAACCAGAACTAATCTTTATTATTGTATTTATTTTAAATCACAAAGCCATACAAGTTGAGTTTCTACTCATGTGTCTGTGTGTTGTCAGTTCCAATGGTGAAATCCAGTTATTTGAACACCAGCAGCTTTAGTCCTCTGCAAGATACTGAGAGCACACAGTTTGGCTCTAGCAACATTTTTAAACGGTTAAGTCCAAAATGCACACGGTTCCTTTCAAAAATACACATTAGTGATGGAGATGGTGTCTGTACCTTCCCGTGCTTTAGAGACTGTAAGGTCCTCTTCTCCAGCCCAGTCGCCTGCTCCTCATCAGTGGGGATTCCTGAAACAAAGAATGACAATGGAACAGAAGTGTAATATTAGTGGGATGTGGTGTGCACCAGCTTTGCTCAAAGTCACCCTTTTTCCTGCACTGGTTGGAAAGATCATGCCAAAGTTTGAGGTATACTTTGTTATATATGGGTTGGCAATAGCCCTTGAATAAATAAATATTGAAACCTAGATTCTGACCTGAGGCGGACGAGCAACAACAAGGGTGCCCAACTGCTCAACGTTCTTCATAAAAAACACAAAACAATTAGTTAAAAAGGAACAAGTTACACATTTAGTTACGCAGATAATGTCATATCAAAAAGGACCTGAAAGTCGGCTTCAGTCCAGTACACGTCAAAAAGAAGGTGGTACTTTGATGGGCGACATATTAAAATCCCCCTTGACCTTGATGGTTTAATTCGATCATTAAACCACTTTACAGCAAATACGGTCTAGTATTTTTGTTTTGTTTTTTCACGCAGTGTAATGTTGAAAGTGAAATAGTTTCTTTTACATGTGACTGGACTTAATCTCAAAGTTCCAAAGTCAGCAGCCCTGGCAGTTCCCAGTGAGCTGAACGGTGTGACATGTGCATATAAATAGACGCTTAATTTTATCGATGGAAGGAGCAAAAACACTTTACCTGCTGTTGCAAAAGTGCGGGGCAGAGGTCTGAGCGCGGAGCAGGTCTTCAGCCGCTGCGTGGACACGACACAGGCTCGGAGCAAACGAGAGGCCATGATTTAATTCAGAGACATAAACATGAACACAGCAGTCCAAGTGAGAGTGATATCTGATGCACTGAAATGACCCCAGGAGGTTGACTGACGCGGCTGCGAGCCAATCAGAGCGCAGCGTCAGACATGTTATTCCTCTGTTCGCCTGTAGGGGCAGTACAGTGAATATGTAAAGTTAAAGGTGGTGTATGTTAGATTCTAATCTCGAATCACCTTTATATTAGTATTCCCAGATACAAGGTCAAGAAGTTAAAATTGGTCTTTGTCATTAAAAATAAAGTGAACATGAGCCAAACGTTCTTCATAATTAAGGTTCTTATGAAGCAGAATGAGTCCGGATATCTCAGTTAACAGATTTGAAAAATGGTGTAGTCCTCTAGCTACAATCTTCAACATGTTTCTATTGGCAGTAAATTTGAGGGAACTTGCTCAAGAAGGGGTGAAACTATATATGTTTGGCACTATAAAGAAATTACCTGTTAAATAGCACAGTGTAAGCCTTTCAAATATTGTTCTAATGGCACTTTTCTGTTTATGCAAACTCATTGTAGCCTTGACCTGATTTGCATTGATTTAAACAAAAAAAAATCTCTAAAAATCTCTAAACTTCATAATATATATACTTAAATTCAACCATAAATCATTTACAGATTCTATTTGACATTCCATATCCATGGCAACACAGATTTTCATAAAAGGTTCTATTTTCTATAAATTGGAATTCCATATTTATGGCAACCCCTATGACATGCAGAGATTGTAGAACTTTTAAAAGTTCGGGAAGCAGAAGTTGGACAACTCTGGTCAGAAGTCATTTGACAATCGCAGCCCATTGCAGCCTTTGAAGGCAAGGCAAGGCAAGGCAAGTTTATTTGTATAGCACAATTCATACACAAGGCAACTCAAAGTGCTGAACAAGATAGCATTAAAATCATAAATAATCACAGAACATTAAAACGAAAGATAAAAATATAAAATCCCTCAGTTGTATGCACAGCTAAACAGCACCGTTTTTAACCTGGTTTTAAACATTGTCAGAGAGGAGGCCTGTCTAACATCTTCAGGAAGATTGTTCCAGATTTTAGCAGCATGAATCTGAAAAGCAGCCTCCCCATGTTTAGTTCTGACTCTGGGCACTAACAGGAGTCCAGTCCCTGTGCTCCTCAGAGTCCGGGCTGGTTCATATGGGACTAACATGTCACTAATATATTTTGGTGCGAGGCCATGGAGAGACTTGTACACAAGCAGAGCTGTTTTAAAGTCTATTCTCTGAGCCACAGGAAGCCAGTGCAGAGACCTGAGGACTGGACTAATGTGGTCGTACTTCCTGGTTCTAGTCAGGACTCGAGCTGCTGCATTTTGAATGTACTGCAGCTGTTTTACAGCCTGTTTGGACAGACCTGTGAGCAGGCCATTGCAGTAGTCTAACCTACTGGAGACAAATGCATGGATAAGAATCTCCAGGTCTGCTTTAGACACTATGTTTTTGATCCTGGCAATGTTTTTTAGATGGTAAAAAGCTGCTGATGTTACTGATTTGATGTGGCTATTAAAATTTAAGTCTGAGTCCAGTATTACCCCTAGATTTCTGACCTTGTTTGAAGGTTTTAGGGAGAGAGACTGTAGATGACAGATGACGCTCTCTCTTTGTTTCTGGGGACCAAAGACAATCATTTCAGTTTTGTCTGCGTTTAGCTGAAGGAAGTTGTTTTGCATCCACTCACTGATCTGTTGGATACAGTGAAGGAGTGAGTCCACTGGTCCATGTTCTCCTGCAGTCAGTGAGACATAGATCTGAGTGTCGTCTGCATAGTTATGATAGGAAACTTCGTTTCTGCGTATTAACTGACCTAACGGCAGCATGTAGAGATTGAACAGAAGAGGTCCCAGGATCGACCCCTGTGGTACTCCACAGGTCAGGGCCATATGATCTGAGACACAGTTTCCAATCTCCACAAAGTACTTCCTGTCTTCAAGGTAAGACCTAAACCAACTTAGGGCGGTGCCAGCGACGCCAACCCAGTCCTCTAGTCTCTGTAAGAGGATCTCATGGTCGACAGTGTCAAAGGCAGCACTTAGATCTAACAGGATTAGGATTGAGACTTTGCCTGCGTCAGTGTTCAGCCGGATATCATTTGTAACCTTGACGAGAGCAGTCTCAGTGCTGAGGTGGGGTCTAAAGCCGGACTGAAACATATCAAATGAGTTGTTGATTATAAGAAATGTAGTAAGCTGTAGGTAGACAACTTTTTCAAGGACTTTCCCCATAAATGGCAGATTTGAGATGGGACGATAGTTGTTAAGTACCGTAGCATCCAGACTGCTCTTTTTTAGCAGGGGCCTGACTGCAGTTTTCAGGGCCTTTGGGAATATTCCAGAATCAAGGGACATGTTTACTATCTGTGTGAGTGAAGGTAACAGACTGCTCAAAACAGACTTTAGAAATATAGTGGGTAGTACATCCGGGCTGCATGTGGAGGAGCTCAAACTGGAGATTATCTCTTGGACAGTTTGATCATTTACAGGTGCAAAGTGAGTTAGCTCAAAGAGCCTTTCTGGCTGTTGGATTGTTATCTGTGGATTGGAGACAATGGCGTTTTTGATGCCTTGAACCTTGTCATTGAAAAAATGTGCAAACTCATTACATTTACGTTTGGAAGTTAGCTCTAATGGCATTTGAACAGGGGGGTTTGTTAATCTATTAACTGTTGAAAACAGAACACGCAGATTGTTGCTGCAGCCTTCAATAATTTCATAAAAATACCTTTCTCTCGTACTACGTAGCACCCGGTTAAACTCGCACAACTTATCTTTGAAGATCTTGTAATCAACCTGGAGGTTGGACTTGCGCCACTTCCGCTCGGCCCTCCGGCACTCTCTCTTTTGTGCCCTGACCGAGTCTGCTTTAGCCCACGGCGCCTTCTGCTTATTTTTCACTATTTTAACCTTCACAGGAGCGATGGTGTCCAGAACTTTCAAAACACTAGAGGTGACAGAGTTAAACAGTTCATCTACAGTAGAATACGATGCATTCTCAAAGTTTATCATTCCCATAAATAGTTCACCCGTATTTTCATTTATGTGTCTTCTTCGTACAGTTGCAGAGTCCACTGGTGGTTTGTTAGTGAAACACATGTAAAAAAATATACAAAAATGATCCGAAAGCGCAACATCGACCACGTTTACATTATAAATGTTCGCCCCCTTTGTAACTAACAGGTCTAGAGTGTGCCCTCTGCTGTGGGTGGGGCCACTCACATGCTGAGTGAGACCAAAAGATTCAAGAAGAGAACTCAGCTCTTTAGCATTTCTGTCATCAACATTATCCACATGAATATTAAAATCACCTGTAATAACTAAACTATCAAAATCTGTGCATACAACTGAAAGCAACTCTGTAAAATTATCAATAAAACTGTGACATGACTGCGGTGGCTTGTATAGGACAACGAAAAGTATTGGAGGAGATTGTTTTTGTTGTATTTTAAAAGACACATATTCAAAAGACGGAAACTTCCCAAGAGACATTCTATGGGAGACAAAGTGGTCTCTGAAAATGGCAGCTAAGCCTCCTCCTTTTTTGTTTTCCCGTATTTCAGATTCAAATTTGAAATTTGGTGGTGATGCTTCTATTAAAACTGCATTTTCTGTATTTTGGTCAAGCCATGTTTCAGCCATGAACATAAGATCTAGATTATAAGAACAAATAAAATTATTGATTAAAAAAGACTTGTTACAAAGAGATCTGACATTTAGCATAGCAAGTTTAAAAGTTTCAGGATCAGCGGTTGTGGTCGGCTGATTCTTACACGGAACAAGAATTAGATTTTCCTGATTAGACTGATTAACTTCAGATGTTTTTCTGTTATGTATTCTTTGTGTTATCACTAAGGGAATGGCACAGGTGGCTTCATGACAGGGCCCCAGCCGGGTCTCTCCTCTAACTAGACTGCCAGTGGCTGCGAAGCAGAGACCCTGTACATCCTAGTGTTTAGAGAAAAGAGGGGAAAGGGAAGGCGGGGGAAGAGGATGGAGAGGTGGGTGGTTCTTGGGAGTTGGACGGGGAGGGGTTGAAGGTGGATGGGTTTTTGGTGATGGGTTAGGGGAGGTGGGCTAAATGAGCAGGAGGGGGGGGTGGAATACTTATGGGGTTAGAGGAGGGACGGGTGGATTTTGTGGGAGAATTTGAGTTGGACTTTGGAGGTACGTATGGGGAGTAGTTTTGAATGTTAGATAGGACTCTTGAGCTGGCTACAGTGGGTGTGAGAGGAATAGTCTTCATCGCCGATCTTATCATGCCTGCAGAGTGTTCCGGTAAATCCAGTAGTGAAGGCGGGGATAGAAAACAAAGGGAAAGGTCGTCCTCATTTTCCCTAGATGGAGTGGATGTAGCGGGGGGGACCCAAGCCGGGTCCATGGAAGGTGATGAGGGAGTCTTTGGTGGAGACAGAGGTGGTTGAGGAACCCCCAGTACAGGCCTGACTGTAGCCTGGAGTAATGGGGGAAGCTTCACGGGAGCTGTAGGTGGGGAAGGTGCTGCTGAAGATGATGGAGCAGCCACTGCTGTTGCTGAAGATGATGGAGCAGCCACTGCTGCTGCTGTATCCACTGCTGCTGGTGGTGCTGTATATGCTGATGGCGCTGATGAAGATGTGGCAGCTGCTGATGATGCTGGGGGTGGAGGCGTTGAGCTCTTTCGGAGCCGTGGAGGTGTTGAGTTCTTTTGGAACCTTGGAGGTGTTGAGTTCTTCTTGAATCGTGAAGGTGTGGAGTTCTTTTGAGGCGGTGGGGGTGCAGAGACCTCGGGAGTTGGTGGAGATGGTCGTGATGTCTGTGCCCTTTGCTTCTTCTTTCTCCCTTTCAACGGCTGCACGCGCTGCGCAGGCTGAGGTCTTAGGGCAGATGCAAAGTTATCCATCAACACTTTTACTCCGTAGTTGTTCAGATGTGGACCTTTTTCTTCAAAAAGCTCGTGCCTATTCCAGAACAGATTAAAGTTTTCAATGAAGCCAAGTCCTCTGCGTGAACACTCATTGAGTAGGAATGTATTTAGCTGATACAGACGGCTAAACTTCTCCATTTTTCCATCTATATTTGGAAGTGGGCCACTAAGAAAAATGTTTATGTCCATTTTCTTGAGGTCATCCAGTAACAGCGTTAAATCCATTCGTAACTTCTCGTTTGCCTTCTCATAGATATCTACCGCCCCCGTGTGGATCAATAATGTACGCACACCACTGTTCTCAGATAACACTTTAGGCAGAAGAGTCCTTATCTCAGCAACTTTTGCAGAGTGAACTGAGACAGTGAGCATGGACTCCATGTTTACATTTTTCACCGAACCATCTCCGATAAGGACACAGTTTGTCCTTGGTGGAGGCGCTGCAGTTTTTAGCGGCTTTGTTGTTTCAGAAAGGGGTAAAAAGCGGTTTGAAGTCTTCAGAACATTTAGTTGTGGCCTTATTTCACTCCTATTGTCATTCTTAGCTTTGTCAACTTTGGGTTTAGCTCCACAAACACTGAGGACTTCAACCTCATGGAAGCGCTGGGTGAAGTGCCTGAAGGAGTCCGTCCCTCTGAACCAGCTGAGGAGGTGGATGGACTCTGTGAACCAGCTGTGAAACTGGTCCCAGGCTTTACAACCGCTGCACAGCTGGATGGAGCCAGGGAGCTGTCAGAAGTTGGACACCACTCAAAAGTCGCTGCGTGAAATTGACCGACTCAAGCAACAAGTGATCAATGAACGCCGGCTGAGGAGAAAGTCCTGGGACGAGATGGCCGTGGCACTAGCAAGGCTGAAGGACATGGCGGCCAAAGCTTCACAGGCCAAAGCTAGAGAGAACCATCTGCAGGAAGAGGTGGAAAAGCTGAAGCGGAGGCGAGCGTTTGACTCACGGAAGTATCTTGAAGAGGACACCATTCCTGCTTTACAAGTTGCGCATCAAATGAGAGTCCAAGAGCTTAAGAAAGAGCTCGAGGATGTGAAGTTTGGTTTGCTCAACAGAACAAAGCGGATAATCTGTTGCCATAAGATCCAACTCGACCAGCAAGCCAAAGCAAAGCAGGACGTGGAGGACGAAATGAGACAAGTGAGAGAAGAGAAAACCTCACTGCTGTTATAGAAATATATACCCCATGAAGGAGGAAACTCAAAGGTCCTTTGTCTGATCAAAAGCGTAAGTTTATTGTTAACGCACAGTGCGGAGAGTCAGCATATGCACACAACGGCAGCATGCTCAGCTCTGAAGCAGAGCTCCGAGTTTCCTGTATACAGACACACACGAAAGACAGTCCCGCCCACAACAGAATGGGAGGGGGCCACCGGTGAGGAGGCGCACAGGAAGCGCCGGCGCCATCCCCTGTGGTGGCAGTGGCATGGGGTGTGAACAGACAGACAATGGTGGAAGTGCAGGTCATACAGATGCAAGACGGAAAGACACAAGGGTGTGACAGACAGCAGGGACCTTCACAAAGCTCAGCATGGCGTCAGAAGGTTGTCTGCATTGATAAAAGGCCTTTGACGTCCGTGTATTTGCTGCGGCTGGTTTTAATGTAATTACTCCAAAAACTGTCACCACACTCCCCTCTTCTGATAATTCAAAACCATTTTTGCATTAATCAGTTAAATACCAGAGGCATCGTAATCACACCACCTTCAAGCTTGAAACACTTAAATTATTGCTGTCCAAAGTGGACAGGAAAAGACACATGCTTGTCAATAAAAGAAAGAGCACATTATAATAACACAATGGATCCGGACAGCGATAAGAAAAGGCAATATTAACATAATAAACACGGTCAGCACGGAAAGTAGTGTCAGTGTGGCCAGCATAACAGTCCAAGGGCCCATGCCGGTCTACGTTCGGTAGTCTTTTCCGCGGGAATACTCACGAGCAGTGCCGTCTCGCAGTCAGTGGCACCGCTCCCTATGAGCGTGTGTGGAGCGTTAGTGGTCATGGCGATGTTTGGTCTTGGAGCGGCAAGACTCTATTTGCGTTGAAGCCTTGGCCTCAGCACTCGGTTGGGCAGAGTGCTCGGGGTTTGGGGTGTGGCGACCATGGCTTGAGCACGCTCCAGATCGGCCAGGCCCAAAGCTCGTTTGATGGGAGACCTCATGACAGCACGCTTCACCATGTGCCTCATCAGGAACTGTAGAGCAGCCCTCATCTCCACCTCCTCCGGACACACGGGAGACGAGACACCAGGGGGCACTCCAGCAGAGCTCCAATCTGCATTATGGCCAGAGGGAGCAGGCTCTGGAGAAATCTTTGGAATGAGCAGCAGCTCTGCATGCTTGCTGCGGCTGAGCAGAGCGCTCAGGGCCTTCATGGCTCCCAGGCCTTGGGGTCCGGGGGCTGGGGAGTTGGGCAAAGGGGGGTCGCCTCGGGAACGCTGGGAATCTCTGGGTGTTGTTGTTGGCCTGCTTCACCGATGGTGGCCGCACGCCGGCCAACTTCTTCAGCGTAGGGAGCCGCGGATGGGCCTGGTCCGTCCGCGCCCTCGGTGTCCTCGTCTATGGCCCTCAGTGGCAGCCCCGCACGACAGTGGTTGGCGTGGATCCAAGTTGTCCTCTCCGCGACCTTAACGGCAGTGTCCGTCACCAGGAGGGCGAGGAATGGGCCGAGCCAGCGCTTGGACCGCCAATGCTTTCGTCTCGTTTCCTTCATCAGGACCCAGTCGCCTGCGCAGCCTGTGGCAGGGCGCTCCTGACCTGGGCAGAAATAGAGGACAAAAGTGCATTAATTTCCTTACAATAGGACAGCATGTCGTCATCACACAAAGAGGTGCTTGGCAGATCTCTGTTCGGGGGTCCCTCGCCCAAGTTGGGTGGTCTGGCACAGAGGATTTCGAATGGGACTCTCATGCGCATGTACATGAGGGCTAGCGGCAGAGCTTTGAGTGCCATTCTCTCGCTCGCACGCGCCTCCGGGCCAGGGGGCGTAACTGCAGTGTTTACGTATATCAATGCCCAGAAATTCACCCACTTCCTCAATGACTTTTGCTACAAAGTGACTGCCAGTGTCACTAGAGATTTTTTCTCGGGGCACAATTTTTGTGAGCAGAGCTTTCACCACCGCGTTGCTTGTGGCGTGTATGCCTGCAAATACTTCAGTCCATTTGGACCAGAGATCCGCCAGAACCAGACAGTATTACTTACCTTGGCATGGTGTGAGTTCAACAAAGTCCCTTTGGACATGTTGAAATGGGCGCAGGGGCGGAGGATGAGCAGCCTGTTTGATACTTTTGGGACTTACCTGGGTTGTGCGCGGGGCATATAGCGCATGTTTGGCTGAATCTCTGTGCAAATGCCGTAAATCCCTTTGTATACCAATTTTGTGTGATTAAATCACACATCATCCCTCCTTTTGAGGCATGGTCTCGACCATGTGCTAAAATTGCAAACTGTCTGAAGAAATGCCGTGGTAGGCACGGTTTGCTGTCTGGTCCCAGCCACACACACCATGCCGTCGTTGAGCCCCATTCCCCTCTCACAGCAGCGTCTCTGCTGGAGTAGAAAATATCAACGTCTTGAGTGAGGTAGTGTGTGTGTGTGTGTGTAGAGGTGCGTATGCCGCTGCCTTGTCCGCGCGCCGATTCCCTGCAGAGATGGGATCAGTGGCATTAGTGTGGGCCTGGCATTTGCATACAGCGATCTCTAAGGGCAACATTACAGCTTTCAGCAGACGTTCAACCTGTGTGGAATTAAGAATTGGTTTACCATCAGATTTCATAAAATTGCGGTGTTTCCACAGTGCTTCCCAGTCGTGCACCACAGAGAAACCATAGCGCGTATCACATAATATGTTGACAGTTTTGCCCGCTGCCAGCTCACACGCCCCGGTGGGCGCGACCAGCTCAGCGGTTTGTGCTGAGTGGTAGTGGGGCAAACTACCAGAGTCTATAGTATCAAAATCAGAACACACAGCATAGCCGACTCGGTTCTTCCCAGTGTTGTCACGTGACGCCGCTCCGTCTGTATAAAAAAAATCAAGTCAGGATTAGTCAGAGGCACCTCTTTCAGGTCTGGCCTGGGAGTGCATATCTGCTCTATTGTGGCGATACAGCAGTGTGCCTCCCCTTCCTCTGGCGTGAGCAGCAGCGAGGAGGGGTTCAGCTGTGTGCATCCCTTCACCGTAGTTCAAAGAGCACCGTGTTGTACCCCAGCCAACGAGCCGCAGAAAGGCGAGAGGCCCTCTGCTCTAACAGGATCAGGGAAACAGCATGGGGCACAAGCAAAGTTAGTTCAGTGTATCCCACAAGGTCACGTGATGCTAGGGCCGCTTTCTCAGCGGCAGCCACAGCCCGCAGGCAGCGAGGCAACCCTGCTGCCACGGGATCGAGTTTTGCTGAGAAGTAAGCAGTGGGTCTCAGTGGCCCTCAGTGAGGCTGCAAAAGTACCGACTGTTCCGTTCATCTCCAGTTGCTTTTCTCCCGGATCGTCCTCAATTCATATTGTGGGCTTTTGTGCCAAAGTGGAGGCTCATTTCCTCCTGATCCATACTACTGTCATCCCTGGAGCAGGGGTAGTTTATCTCTCATCTGAAAAAGAAATATCAGAACACAAAAAAAAACAAAAAATGCCCACTTTCGCTTGTCAATCTTTTTCCCAATTGGGCAAAACATAACTGCATTGACAGACGGTGTTTGACATCAGGGCAGAGGCTGTAGCAAGATACAGACTTAACAAAATGTATGTTTCTAATTTTATACTTCCCTAAATGTGAGTTTACAACCAAAGTTGTCCTTCACCCAACGACAGCTCACTGCGGTTGGACTGTGTCGCTGTCAGGACAAACAGCAGAGGGAGGAACTCCCAATATCTTCAGCGAGGTATTTCATCTCCGAGTACTCATCCCAGAGTACTCTCACTTTTACACCTGTTCAATAAAGCTTGTTATCTTTGAATCTCTAGTACTTACACCGTATGCTGTTGACAAAAAAATAATTATTCCATGATCACATTAAAACATTACAGACACATTTGTTATTCCATGATTCCGTTCAGCATTCCTCATTTCACTCCTTATTTCACACATCACACTCATATCACAGTCACATCACAGTCACATCACAGGCCGATTCCCCCACGTTAGTATTTTGGTCCAGTTTGTTAAGGTCAGCGTAGTGTACTTTGACATGACACACAAACATATAACATACACAAAACATATAACACACAGAAGGCCTGTACTTTTAACTTTGTTATATTTTTCCATGTCCAATTCCAATTGTCTCATGAGCTATTTCTTATTGTTGCAACTTTCAGAGCCTGCAGAGCTTTAAAAGAGTTTTCCTAAAAGGATCCATTTCCAACTTTAGTGTTTACCACGTGGTCTGTATTTCGGGCTTATCACAGATGGTGTCCCCTATATCTCTAATGAGCTCTTGTCACCTAAAAAATGTTTATTTTCCTTATTTTTTTTTTTTTTTTTTTCAATAAAGCCAGGTCGGATTCATTAAAAATGTAAATTAGTCTCAAACTTTAATACTTCACCTTTGTTTCACGATAAAAATGTTTTTGTTACTCATTAAGTAGCACAGATAGTGGTGCCTATCTCAATAAACGTACTCCGTTAGCCTATCTTCCCTACACTGCATGAATTTTCAAACTCCAAGTTATTGTCTGGGAACGACCGGAGAGAGCAGCTTAGGTCGTTCGCGTGGTTGACCTCCAAATTTTGTGCGGGCGTCACTATCCACTTGTTGTGGCTAATAACTTAGCAATCTCAGGGTTTGGTGTCAATTTCCAGTGGTAGTTAACTTTTGGGACCGGTGCCTCCTTTTATTTATCTATTTTTAATTGAGTCTGCACATAAGGTCTCGGCCTAGTAGGTTAACCGGGGACAATGGGGAATATAGAAAAGAATGTTTAAGCTGGTTGCCCTGAGAATCAAAACACGTTAGCGGTGACGTAAATTGCTCTTTAGTCGTCTCTCCGACGCTGCTAATGAGAATGTGAAACGGCCGCTCATTTTAGGGGAGACAGAAAGGCTGTCACTTTTTAGCACAGAATTTGTTGCCCCGGAGTCATCCAGAATTTTAACTTGTACACCACAGGTTGTTAGCGTATATTACGGGCATGAATTATCTCTAAAAAGTGCCAATTGCAATTTGTTGTTGT